GTTCGAATCCCCGTCACACCAAACATGCTCGCCCTTTCAGCCGTGGGGTCGTTATAATGTGACGGTCAATCCCACTATTTGTTGGTAAAATAGTAGCCCAAGAGTTGGCGGTGGGTGGTGATGACCAGCTGTCTTCCCTCTAGTCTTACACTGCTAAATTAGGGACGGCTAGCGCAGATAGCCCTCGTGTAGCTTTGCGCGAAATTAAAAAACAAACAACCTATGTCGTTATTATTCTTCCATGATAGTAATTTCGAATAAGGTCTCGTTTTAGTTTTAATTTCAATATTGTATTTATTTATTCAGTCCTTCGCGAGTCTCTGGCATACTCTAATCCCCCACCCGCATTTTTTTAATTTTTTTTTTGTAAATAGTTACACGTCTCTCTGTCTATAATTTTAATTTTTTACAATTTCCTTCCCCCCATCGTTATAATCATTTAAATAAATAGCCCTTCAGGAAGGAAACCTAACCGTTGGAAAAATTTATGCGGGTTTATTGATCTTGGAAAATTGGAAAACATCCCGATTCGGCCAGTTACCAACTGAAGGAAATCTGACAGTAAGTAGCCCTTTTTAATTTTATTTTTCTCTTAGCATCATAGAAACTAGACAACTAGAAACATTTCCATTTATATGTATATATATGTGTGTATGACACTTATCTCTTTCAGATGAAAAATGGCCTATTTTTATGTACTTTTCGATTAGTTTGTATTTCCAGTTAATAACCCATTGTCCCTCACTGTTGCCTGTCTTAAGCTTTCAACGCCACCTGTAATGCGTTTGAACTTTTAGCAAGTTTCTTTTCATTGTATTTCATTATGTGCCTGTAAATATGCATATTTCAGAGTTTGCTCTTGTTATTTTATCATTTTTCATATTGTATTTAAAGTGTTGTGTCGCGTGTTATTTTTGTATTAATACGTGACGTTTTTTTTTCCTTATTATTGTTCGTTATTGTACCAAATATTTTTTACCCTAACAGACCCATATCTATTAATAAGTTTACCCTTCATGTTTAACATTTTTTTATTCATCAGTCAGTTTCGAATTTCTTGTATTACGTTATATCTGTAAATGAGATTTAATTTTGATTCATGCGTATTTTTTATATCGCCCGAGCAGCATGCAACAATGTTTCTTTTCAAATGTTTATTGTTTACTACTAAGTGTTGTTGTTGTTGTTTGCAATTAAGCA